CAGATACACAGAGAGAGAGAGTGATGGGGGGGTAGAGAGTCAGATACACAGAGAGAGAGTGTGATGGGGTAGAGAGCCAGATACACAGAGAGAAAGAGTGATGGGGGGGTAGAGAGTCAGATACACACAGTGTGAGAGGGGTAGAGAGCCAAAGGAAAGAGACGAGGAGTGAAAGCAAGAGACCGCAAGAATCATGCCAGAGTGACACAGAAAGAGCCAAAGGGAGTGAGGCACAAGAAGGGGAGAGACTGACAGAGAGAGTATGAGGAGGAAGTGAGAGACAGATGAACGACAAAAGCAGGTCTTGCCCCCCTTAACCACCCTCCCCCGTTTGTGCATAGTTCATGATCCTTTTAAAACCAGCTATTTTTTCTAATTTGTTGCAACTCAGACCAACTTTTCATAAAATATTTTTTATACCCGCCACAATAAGAGGAAGAAAGACAAAGAGAAACGAGAAAGAAAGAGTAATGCACGATGTTCCTGATCTGAGCAGGAAGGGACCTCATATTAAGAAAATACAATAAAGTTTGCAACATACAGCAATGGTATGTTCGTTCACTGTCCTTTTTTTAAACAATCAAAAATCATTGATCATTTTGTTTAAAATGTAAAGCAATTTTAATATATAGATTTATATATAAAGCACTCCATTTTTTAAAGTTCATTTCGAGTCCATTATTTGGTAAATATGTAACTGCTACGGATTTAGAAACAAAGGTATTTTTCTTCTTTTTTAAATCCATAACCTTCAGTGCTTGGAGTTGGGTTTTTTTAATTATTTTTTTTTCATAAAAATGTACATTTAAAATGGCGTGGAGTTGGTACTCTGGAACCCTGGCTTTCCTGAGACATTATCCACTTTTTTGTGTGTGTGCAAGATAGTGAGCAAATTCCATCTTCTTTTACAAAGGAAAAAAAATATAACATACAGGCTTTGACAGTCCATAAAATTAATAACATCAATAACAGGAAAATAAGTAAAATACAACACAACACTGATCAATCCCAGAGTTCTGAAAGTAGCATAATCTTCATTCTGAAAAGTTTTTTTTTAAATTCATTTGATGGAAGAGTATTTGTCCTTTGTTGTTTTTCCAACGTTCCTGTAATATATATTCCTTTTCCTTGAACTTCGGAAAAAACGAAATGTCTGTAAACGACAGGTGGCCTTGTGAACAGAAACAACACACACAAACGAAAAAAACAGAAAAGTAGGCACCTCTGAAGAGTCTCATTATCCATCTGGAGTCCAGATTCCTCCTCTCTCCCTGTCCTGGCAGGACAGGCAGAGAGAGCTCTTGTCCTTCTAAAGAAATCTATGGCCACAGGTCTTTGAAAAATCTTTTTTTTTCTTCCTTTTATCTTTTTTTAATTTTTTATTGATTTTTTTTTTCCGTTTAGAATCCAAAATAAAACAAAAAAAGAAAAAAAATGGGCAATACTCAATTATAATCCTTTTTGGGGATTATTCCACAATAAAAGCCACTATAAGGTAGATAAACATCTTACAGATTCAGAAAACAAAAAACACATTTTTTTCTCGTTAAGTCCTTGAGTAAACATTTACACATGAATTGTCACCATCTCCCCTCTGTACTTTCTCACTGCTTTTGAAAAATAGCTGAATGAGGGGAACCAGACACTCAGTGCAACGTTAGAAGCTAATAATAATAACAACAATATCCATCATTATATATTTTTTTCTCTGACGAGCAAAAAAAAAAGACTAACGTACTGAATAAAACTTATGAGTTAAACACTTAAACACACACTCGCATTTTCACAAATCACACTTCAGTATTTACTTGCCACACTCGTACATACATTTGTGCAAACGCTCACATACAAAGTCATCTTTTTGCCTTTTACTGATTTCATTTCACTTTGAACTGGTATCGTCGTCGAAAGCTCGGAAGTGTAAGAGTGAGACAAAATCATTACAAAAAAAGTGTTCACATTACATTATTGGCGCTTCTTTGTGATTCAAGTATTTGTATATATATATATTTTTGTTTTGTTTTGATATGTTTATGATCTTTTCTGGGAAAAGTAGGAAAAAAGGTCGGGAGGGGGTGGGGAGTTTTTTTTTTATTTCGCGACAAGTCGAAAAAATAGAGATTTGTAATCAGCACGTGCATATTGAACCCAGGCCCTCCGAGAACTCACAGCTGCAGCTACTTGATAACCTTCAGCACCCCACTCCCCCGGCCCTGACTGAGCGACTGGGGAACATTACACTTGGAACCCCAAGCTGCACGGAAAGGGTCTCAGAACTCGGATCCTTAATGTCCCGTGTTGTGCTACAAATTTTTTTTTTTTTTGGGAGTTCCCACCCCCACCGCCTTGTAAAGTGGAGCCTAAAACAGCTTCTCAGTGCTGGTGCAGTCATTAAAATCCCGAAACACGTCAAACTCTGCCCCAGATAAAGAGCGCGCTGTACAATCCGTTAAAAACATCCCGGGGCAGCCGGCCGAGCTGGGGAGCCAAGGCTGGATCAAGCACAGGCAAACAGTGATTCTCTATAGTGTCGCTCTGGAAGGTCACCTTCGCCCACCCCCTTAAGACTTTGTACCAAATTGAAATGTCTCCTCGGTGAAATAAGAATGCCTTCTGATAAAAGCGGGATCTGCGCTGAACCCAGATCCGTCGAAGCGCACGGTTCGGCTCCCCCCTCCCAGCCCATCGGGATCTCCTCCGTGGAGGGGAGACGCCACTTTGGGAAGAAAAGGCTTCAGTCCAGTTCAGCGACAAGTGCAGAGCTGAATCATTAGTAATATATATAGCAGGTTTTTTTTCCCCCCCAAGCCTAAGAAAAATGACAATAAATGCAAATTTTTGGTATAAAAAATATGTACCCGGGATTACCCAACTACAGTGCACCTAAGCATGTAGTCCCCATGTGTATTTCTCTCTTTGCAGGGTCTTCCCCCTAAAACGCACGATTATCTTAAAACCCCTTGAAGCTGAGGTGCTCCCCTCTTGTACCTCTCCTCCCATAGTGTCAGTCTCCTGGCCTGACCAGCGCCACCTCCCACAGGAACGGGTAAATAAAAGTGCTCAGCAGCAAACAACACACCGCCCAGCCAACAGGACGAAAGGAGCAGTGGCTTTAGCAAGCTTGCACACAGTCATGGGGCCAGCAGGAACGGGGCTCCAGCCTGTTCACATCAGGGTCACATCGGGACATGAGGACCAACACCATGTGCCCAGTGGGCAGACCCCTCCTACAGTAGGTGGCAAAAGGTCTTGCAAGCCCTCTAGAGACCCGAGAGGAAAGTTTCTACTTCTTTTTTTGAGATGACAAGTGTCTTAAGCTGCACTTCTTAAACCCCAAGTTAAAGCACTGCCGGGAATTCCAAACAAATGGGCCAAGACTGCCTTCTTCCTCTACGAGGGTAGGCCTGTACCCCGAGCCCCCTGCCTCCTGCACTCCTCCTCACCCAAGCTTTAGTGTGCTGGTTGCAAATTTGCGCTTTTCTTCAATATAATTCAACGCAGGCATTAAAAAAAAAAAACAGGAAGCTGCATTTATCTTGAGACTGAAAAGTTATGTTTTTTCACAAGCCTCCCCTGAGAATAGCTATTTTTAATTGTTGTAAAGATACTGTTCTGCAAGTAAACACTGAGGACCCCACCTGCGAAACACCTGATTTCGGAAATAGTGATTTTACAGTTTCATTACCTATCCCAGTTTTGGTACACAATATATCAATATCACGCTGAGCACTGAAAAACCCCTGTGAGAGAGAAGGGCACAGCACTCCAAGCAACAGTAGCTGCCATCCTGAGCTGGCATTGGCACAGGATTGTAGGGTGGCGGTGTGTATGTACATTTTCACCATTGCATAGAAACAGAGGTCAGTGTCAGTTTCTCTAAAAAGTCACGGACTAAGAAAATTTAATGTTTTCAAAATGTCATGAAGCACCAACTAGAGTGACCTAGTCATATATTAGAGGTTTGTCTCTGTTTCTTTGATCGCATGACTTGGCCTGTAGCTTGCTGGGAAGAGGTGACGTGCGAAAGAGGCAGGAGAGACAGGTGGGGCTGAGCAGCAGTGGATTCACTTGCTGGAGGGAGTCTGGCCCATTCACCCAAAAACCCAGAGGCGCTCTTGTCCGGAACTAAAACCTAGGCGCCTCAAGACACGAAGAGGAGGTTCTCAGAAGCGGTGTTCTGAAGGTAACAGAAACGCCAAAGAAAAAGAAAAACAGTTGTAGCATTAATTCCTTCCCAAAGCCCTTCCCCCCTCCTCCCCACTGATATTTTACATGCACACACTGCTTCCAAAGGCTCTGCTTACTTAAGCATTTCCGCACAGCAAATATCTAGTAAGCAGCTGCCTTGAGAGCACGCCGGGCATGAGAGTAAAACAATACAAAAAATAAAACACTGATGATTCCTGAAAAACTGAATGTCTGAACTTCAAGCTAAAGTGATCTCCACATGAGAAAATAAAACACTTTGTTGGGCACTGGTGCAGTCCTCGTCACTGCCCAGCCCCAACACAGCTGCATCCAGCAGGTCTCAAGAGTCCAGTCCAAGTATGCCAAACAATGCATAGGCGACTCAACGGCTTTGAGAGGGAGTGCTGCTGCAGAATCGCACTGAATACCAAGAGGCTCCACAGCAGATAGGCACTCAATGGCCAAACTATTATACAAGTCACAGGGCCTCAGCAAGGGGCCCTGCTATTCCATGTAACATTGCACGTCTAGCTTCTCCCACAGGAGGCTAAACAACTTGGAGTAACAGTGATATTTACTTTGATATACTTAAAGCATTGCTCTTTTCTTTGCCCAATAGTAGATTCAGTCTTTTCCCTTCAATCCTGCTATCTTTTTTTTCAAGCCCGTTTCGGTCCCTAGGCAACGGAGGGACAAAACAAAAAATCAAAACTTTAAAAGTCTTTTGAAAAACGCGTACAGTACAAAAAGAGCAGAGAGAAGCCATTGGATCAATCCATTTTCCTCTTAGCTTTTGGGTTTCACAGAACTCTTTTCTGATTTGTTGGCATTGCAAAGAATGAGCTTCTTGCTCTTTGTAAGTGCTATGACAAACCACCTCTTGAAAATGTTTTTCTTCATTTCACACTTTTGTACCAGAAACAACACACACACTTTGTCTACTGCACTGTAAGAAACACCTTTACTGATAGAGTGGCAGACAGTCCCCTTTCCAGTCTCTGCTGTGTGAGGCGAACCGTAAGATGAGGATCTGCACACTGCTGAATTGTCAATGGAGAGGTACAGCGCGTTGTGTGACAGATCAGTTTCACGTGCTGCCTAACACACCGAGATGCAGATCCATGCGACAGATTGGGTGGAGGGGTTCTGTAGGCTTCTCTTTGTCCTGATGAGAGACAACAAAGACTAACATCTAAAGTGACAGTGGACGGAGGAGCCTTATGGTGAAGCATATTGCACATTGCTTTGAAGATGAAGGTGTTTGAAGAAACTGATGGACCATTTTCAGGACAGGGATCACCCAGGACACGGATTTAAAAAATGAAGAAAAAAAACAGTCCTCCAACAAGCTGCAGCGATACGTTTTCGAGAGGTGTTTCTTACAGCAAGGTAGAGCAGTGGTTTATGGGTTCACAGCTACAGGCACGCGCACACACACACACAAACACACCAGCTCAGCCAGACCCACCCTTTGTCAGCTTATTTTGCGATAGATATAAAGACAGCTTGAATGTGTGAAACAGCAGTGTAAATCCCTTTAAGAAAAAAACAACTACTGGGGTCGGCAGGTCAGACCAACCCACTACTTAGAACGTTGTTGTTGTTGTTGTTCAGATTTGTTCTCTGTTCCATATGCTGGCTCAGAATTGGGACTGTGCAATTTTTCAACAGGTTTCTTCAATATGTAAAAAGCATGTGTAGGACCTGGGCTGGAGAGCAATTAAGGCTAATATTAGTGCTGAAAAACAAAAAGTACTTGAACCATTCCTACTGGGCATGCTCGGAATGATGCTGTTTCAGAGGGAGGGGCTTACAGGGCATGGGTCACATGGTGGGCGGGGCCAACAGGGGAGGTCAAATGGCAGCTTTTTTCTTCAATTCTCCTGAAAACACGGATTTTCACACTGAATGTCAGAATCATTAGAAAATTGTCATGAATAAAGGTTCACTTTCCTTTCGTTTATTCATCGCTTTCTTCCTTCTTCTTCAAAATTGTTTGAATACTTTTTTACCCTCCCCCCCCTTTGAAAAATAAAAGAAAACCGAAAAAAAGCCAGAAGAAGAAGAAGAAGAAGAAGATCAGCAGCCTCGAGACAAGTTTTGCTGCAGCCCCCGTTTAGAACTCCAAGACGAGACTGAGCATGCTCCCAACATGTCATTGTTCACCACGTCTACTGATTATCTCCACATGATTTGCTTGGTTTTTTTGCTCCTGTGTCTCCATGCTTGTAATCCTACATGGACTCCCCACTCAGCAGGTCTCCGGGAAGCAGCGTGTTGATCGGGGTCGGGCTCCCGATCACCCTGGCGTCCTCTCCGCCGGGGGGCCCCCACAGGCTGGAATACTGGGGCACCGCCCCCCACAGCAGGTCGCTGCTGGCCTTGCCGCCCCCCAGCCCGCTGCTGTTCCAGTGGCCCATGGCATGGGACACCCCGGAACTCCCCAGCCGGGTCTGGTTGGTGCCCGGGTTGGCCTGCCAGCTGGTGGTGGGCGTCAGCGACTGACCTTGTGCAAAGAATCGGTTCACCTCCTCCTCCCCGGCAAACTCAGCAAGGATGGTAGTATTGCCCAGAACACACCTGGAAAAACAATGAACAGAAGGGCGTGAGGTCAAAGGTTAACACCCGCCACGACTCCAATCGCGTTTTTGAATTTGCTGTCAATTTGTTTTCCCCCAGAACAGCTGTTTTGGACTTCCAGCCCTCTGCGGGTTGAAACTGCAAAGTGCACGTGTAATTATACACAGCCATGTTTAAAAAAATGTGGTCAAATCTAAAAACCAAACAGCTGTGAAGGTATTTTGCTAAAACAAAAAGGGAGCTGGGATGGCCAGCGTTAATACATCAGCAGCTCATCAGATGGTATCCAGACTATACAGATTTCAAGCATGCACACCAATCCAATGTACTGATCACTTGGACACTTGGCCTCCAGTTTTCTCTGAAGCTCACAGCTGTGTTGCACAGCACTAAACATCTGTATAATGTTATTTCCTGTCATACATGTGCAAGGACTTCTGGGCTTTGGCTGCCTCCTCCTTGGAGCTGTAACGGACGACAGCGTTTCCTTGGGTCAGGTTGAGGTGGAATGTAATGAGAGGGCCGTGTTGCATGCACAGCGTCCGCAGAGTCGAGCCGTCAATCTGCAACAGACACCAGAGCAGTGAAGATCCATGTTCAAGGGTAAACAGGGCTAGCGTGCAATCTTCACGACCTTCGCTTCTAAACATTACACGAGAAGGCAGCTTGTCGATAAGGACCATCTTGCCTCTTGTTGAAAGAGACATTAAAACGTTTCAGCACCTTTTGTGGCGTGTTTATAAAAAGATACAGGACACAATGGTGACCAGAAAACAGTGAATCAAGTGTTTTGAGGATAGCCACAACATGCTGTAGGTAGCTGCAACAGTAATGGTAAAGTATGCAATCTTCCAATTAGCTATAAGATTTTTTCGACCACGGCCTGCCTCCCCCCTTCAGAGTCGAGGAGCTTCATTAGGAAGGAGGCTTCTCAGGGTTGTGCTCTGTACCTGGGGAGTGAGGTTTCTCAGGACCAGCCAGCTGCTTGTCCTCCCTGAACTGTCGGTGCTCCAGGTGGTACCTGGGAGGAGAGGGAGAGGAAGGTCAGAGCTGCAGCTGCACTCGAGATGCACAGCAAAGTCACACCCCACACCCTGCAAACCCCTGAACCCCACACAGATCAGCAGACAAAGAGGAATGCTTCATTTCACAAACTGGAGCTTGCCCGTCTCCCGTGTGTGGGACAAGTAGAAGAATAGAAATGAGAGCTCCCATGTGGCTTGATCAGTGGGGGTGATGTCAGTGATCCAGAGGCTGCTAGCTGCAACCTGGGTCAGGTCACCAGCCAACTGAGACTGTGATTCCCCACTGCAATTCGGCATCCTGCAGGCAAGGTGGGGCTGGCACTAACTGGCCAGTGCATACAAGGCTTTGCAGGAAATGCCAGTCACGGGGGTGCCAGCGACAGAGGCTCCCCCGATCGGCCCTGACTCTCCCGCCAGGAGCCGCAGAGCTGGTAAAGTGTCGCGTGGGGAAGGGCTCTGCAGAGAAGCGGCTCATCCAGTGCTGTACAGGACGTGTTACCAGAGAGCCAAGTCTTCAGAGCTTCCACACAGCTCCAAATTCCCAACTGGACATGTATGTGATTAAATAATATCCATCCCTTATTCATATAATGAAATCACTATGTTTTGAATAATTAAATTTAATACTAGTCGGCCGTGTATTGAGGCAAAACGAATAGATAATGCATGCACAAAATGGAGTGAGGAGTGGCAGAAATTGTAGTTGACCTCTTCCCGACCTCTTAATTTTGTGTACAAAACGTAGTGCTCAAATATGGAAGGTATGTTTCCTTTGATAAAAAAAAGTTACTCAAACTTTTGTTTTAAAACAATATTTGCAGGCATCCAGACTTAAAAGTCCTGGTCTACCCACATCTGGGTTGAATACACACATGAAGTATTCTGATGTTATTATATTGTATATGCATACGGTTATTTTCATATCTCTATATTGTTTTATTAGATAAACTATCAATTTTATACATTTTTTAAAATGAGATACTTTAGCAGAATAATGATTTAGGTACAAAGACGTACGTGTTCAATTTTAAAAAACGCTATGTGTCATGAAAGTTGAGTAGTTCCTTTTTTACTGACACGGAAGAAAATTTGGTGTAGTGGGCCCCTTGAAAGTGGCCAAAATTTAATGACTTTAGTGGTGCACAGTTCACATTTGACTCATTGAGAGACGAACTCTGGCCAGCGGTGACCTTGATTCTGAAATCTAATAAAGTCTTTTAACATGATTCTGCAAGCCCGCCAGGCCAGAAGCCCAGATGCAGAGTTAACGAACGTCCTCTACACCACTTTCAAATCCTGACAGCGTCGAGGCGGTTCATACAGAGCATAAACTGTGAATAAATTTACACAAAAGAAAAGTAGAGAAATGAGAACACATTCCGGCGCCTTCAGCTAAACCTCAGAATTTCAGTTAATCGGTAAAAAAACCCACAGGGTGTGCACCAAGAGCAAAACAATGTTTGATTTCTACGAGTACACACCACATTATCAAACCTTTCAGCCACAGAATTAAACCTTTCATGGGTGTAACGGTGTGTTACCCCGCAGGTCTCTGAGCGTCTTTGAGAGGCACAGCGCTGTTGGAGACACGTGTGTGGCAAGCTCCTGCAGAGAGCAGCGTATGCTGAATTGATCACTTTGTAGACACTGAAGAACGGGGAGCTTTCGCAGCTCATAAGTTGGACCGCTTGCTATAAAGCCACCACATGTCTGTCTCGTGAATAACCATCATAAACGCCAATTTCCCGCTACACACAGAAGAGTGACCCGTGTACGCCTGACCACCACCCCACCCGTGAGTCCTGCGGGTGGAAGTGGGGCGTCAGGAACAGGTCAGGGGCACCTACCAGAAGAGTAAGAGCTGCTCCAGCCTGGCACCAGGCCCAGGGCGCTGCCACTCCAGGTGGAGGACAGCTTGGTGTTGGTCAGGCCGGGCGGGGGCCGGGTGGGGGCTGTAGTGTTTCGGGGGCCCTGCGGCACTTTCCACAGCTCATGCGACAGGGAGGCCTGGGTGTGGGAGATGGGGCCTGGCGACCAAGTGGACTTCATGTCTGAGAGTTTACCTGGGAGGGGAGAAAGATGGCTGTGAGCCAGGTGACACACCCCGGGCCAGACCGCTCACAAACAGTGGCTGCAGTTCGTCCGTCGCCAGGGCGCAGGCGCGCACAGAAAACCGCCCTGCCATTGACATGCAGACCCTCCGTATTAAATCAAGGTGCAGTAATTAGTCAAAGCAGTCGAGAGAACACTTGTCCGCTTAATAAGGAATCCACCGGACCTCAAGATGGACTTTCAAATGCACAAGCACAGCGTACGTCTTCCAGTCTTATCCAAAACATTGCAGAGGCTAGCTGTCACTTTTTAACCTTCCTGGGATGTTCTGGCTTGGCTCAGCAAGACTCTGCCAAGTTGCAGCAGGCTGAAGAGTAAGGAAACTTGGCTACCCTGGGGCCCCCATGCGTGTGAAGGAGCTTGTATTGTGAAAGACGCATCAAGAGGAAGCATCTCGGAGAGGGACTGCACTGCTGCAGCCTACATCCGGGGGCTTAAATGTCAACCCAAAGCAGAGGGGGTGAGAATAAGGGGTGGGGAGAGGTGAAGGGTAAAGACAACTCATTCATCTTCTCTCAGCGTCACACATTCACATCCCAACCAGTTCAAACCCCTTCATGTCACAAACTGTGAGATGAAGGGCTTCACAAAGAGAATACTGAGCTACACAAGCAAAACACAACCCATGTCAAAATGTTCCTTTAAAGTCCAATTATATAAAAACTGAACCAGAATTTTGGTTCTCAGCATAAGCATTCTATTGGGAAACGGACTGAGCTACTTGTGGAAGTGGAGGGTTACGAAGGTGCCAGACTGGACGGCGTCACACGACGACACTGGTGCTAAGGAGCAGCGAGTCTGCGTGCACTCGGGACTGGAAACAGGGGGTCAGAGGTCAGGGGAGCGGGCAGGAGCTGGGGCAGGGGTCGGTACCTGCGGAGTCAGTAGCCGAAGGTGACAAACTGAAAGAGCTAGTGTGGGCACTGACAGGCCAGGCGTCGGCAGAAGGCAGCGCACCATTCTGAGAGGGTGGTGGGGACGAGCCTATGATATACGTGAAAATGAAAAAGAAGAGAGAGACTGTAGCAAGGGGGCCAAGGATTGACATCATCTGACGTGTCTGCAGCGTGGCATCCCCTGTCCCAGGGAAGCTGCACGGTCAGGTGAGGAATATCATGGAGGTTTCCTAGCTCAACTTGGGACTTCCACAACTCTTGGGAGTCAAAACAGCTCTTGACCGTTACTTTCATGACTTTCGTGTTAAACCATCAGAGACGGCAGATCAGGACAGGCGAGGTCCTGTGCCATGTGACACCAAAATGGTCAACAGCATTAGAGGAAAAGGAAAATCCACCAATTTTCCCACCCGCTTTTTCAAACTCAGGGCTGCGGGGGGAGACGGAGCCTATCCCGGCGAGCCACGGGCGCAAGGCAGGATTCACCCTGGACCGGACACCCGTCCATCTCAGGGCAGACACACAGACGCCAACACAGACACGCACACACTCACACCTAGGGCCAACTTTCGCAGAAGCCAATTAAGCTGCTAGTAAGTTTTTGGACTGGTAGTATTGTGGGAGGAAACCAGAGCGAACACAGGGAGATCATACAAACTCCACTCCAGATAGAATCCCAGGTCAGGAACTGAACCCGGGGGCCTAGCACCGCAAGGCGCCGTGCCACCCAAGAAGAAAAACAAAATAAATGGAAAAAAAGGAAGCTAATGGCAAACACCATCCCCTTGCTAAAGTGGTGCCTCAGACCAGTGGAAATCTGCCACACAATGAATCTACTGCAATGTATAACAATAAGAATGTATTCAGAAACACAGAGACACAAGAGTTAGAAAGCTATTAATTACGATAGTGCATTTTGTAATCAATAATCAAATCAAGCATTTAAATGCATTTAACAAAAAATATAATTTTGTCAGCCAGCCAGAATAGGGAAAATAATGCTTTGTCGTTTTCTGAATGTTTTTTGACGTCACCTTTATGAATGAGTTTCTCTTTTTATCCATCCTTCCACAGTAGATTAGCTATCTTTTCAAATAACAAATTTACTCAATAGGCATGAATTGTTTAGTAGCTTTTGTCCTACAAACTAGTTTTTATGTTGCTCTACTTCATACAGTAGGCACTTGTTCAGCAACCTTTTAACATATTAAGCCCCACACAGAAATTTCAGGCAACCAAAGGCTCGACTTCCAAATACATTGAGTCTTGAGTGCAGATTAAGTGCATCTGAAGGAAAATAAAGTATAAACAGACAAATTACTTGAATTTGTTGTCTAGGTCTGAAGGAAGCTTCTGACATTTTTCATGGGTTTCAATGGTACCTACAGCTTCTATTCAAACAGACTCTCTTACTGCAAAAAAGGATCTTTTTCAGAAAATGTTCAGCCTTCGCAAAATCTTCCTAAGCATGTAAAGAATAAGTTTAGAAAGCTATACACTAAAACAGTTGACTAGGCTTCCTCATGTACACTGCATTTATGAACAGTGCATGTACAGAACATGGTACTTTGAGCTGAGTGCTGACTAAAACACTGCACTTTCTCCACTCTGGGACACACTGAGTCCTAGCCAGTCCTCTCACTCCCTACCTCCGCTCCTGTCTCTGAGCAGGTAACGATTCACATCCTGGATATTGGTGTTGATGGTAGGGCCACTGGGAACACTTCCTGGAGTCACATTGGGATCAGTTTCCGGGTCAATATTTTGCAGTCCTTTCCAGGGCACTCCTGGGCAAAACTCTGAAACGTATCCGAAATGACAGCTTCAGAAACTCATTTATCGTTAAGTCCACAAACTAAGACATCACCCAGTTACTTCCCAGATTGACGTTTTTAGCTTCAAACTAAATTCAGGTATCAAGTATCAAATGCCTATCAAGACCTGGAACAATTTTCTTGACACAATCAGACATTCAGCACTGTTTCTGTCTCCAGCTAGACTATGCTTTTTCTAGACTGACTATATACTTTGAGTTCTCTATCTAATGAAAAAAAAGAGAAAAACTGAGGTGACTATTGAAAATTTCTCTTGTAAAAATTGAACTGTTAAGCATTTTAAGCGAGGGGGATAAGAAGAACCAGAACAGCCAAATGGGAGAAAAAAATATTGCCCCTCATGCAAAAGCAAAGGCATTTCTTGATGTGAATCGACAAAGGTAGACGTGGGCTTTCAAAGACAAACACAAAAATGTCCAAGCACATTCATGGATTCCAATTCTTTAAAATGGGGACAGCACAAGTTTAGATCGTTGTGGAATGGACAAATTGTGTGGAATTCCTCTAAACTGTATAGGTTAAAACAAAGACATCGGGGAAGGAGTTCTCTCGAACAAAACGGGCTCTTGCTTTTCTTTCACAAACCTGGTGGCCAGTTGATGTTGGTGCCGTTGGAGATTTTGTCATTGCTAGCTTTGCCCTGTGTCCAGCTGTCTGGGGCCACGAGGGGGCTGGCTGGAGACTCGGAGCTGGGGATGAGATTGTAGGGGCTGTAGGAGTCTTCCATGGGGGGCTTCCCTGGGGGGCCGAGACTGGGACCTGCAGGGATAGCACCTGGAAACACAGGCAACAGGAGTCACTTCTCCGGCTCCCTGAGGAACACGTCCACCACAAGGATCCACACAGAGCAATCCAGGGCGGCTACACGCTCACTGAATGAAATAAGAATCAGCACACACCCACACTCCTGTTTTCTAATGGGGTTCATTTCCAGGAGGCACCCTTTGCGAACAGTGAGCTAGGACAATGGAACAGTAAAACTGAGCACCTTTGGCCAGTTCATGATCCTACCAATCCTACAGAAATCTAATTGGTGGCTAATTAAAAAAAGGGTTGAAAGAGAAAAAAGCCCCTAAACAGGACAGCCTCACAGATTATATCATCATAACACAAAAGGAACCAGAGCGGCAGCTGTCTGCAGAACTGGTAACTCAGCACAATCATGGTCAACATTCTTAAATCCATTCACAGCCCACCAGGAGGAAAAAGGCCAAAGAGTGGACAGACAGGCTGACTGTGCTGAAGAAGGGGAAAGAAAGAAAATGGCAGAAGTGTGCAACTCAGTGGGACGGAGCGGCTATTCAGAAGCAGAGGGTGAAGAAGAAAAACCGTATTGCTTCACTTCCTCTTTTGGGATATGGCTTCATACATACATTTGCCTTGAAAAGCAACCTTTGACCTATAAATGCAATCAAGTCAGAGCAGAGTAAAGCTGCAGATTCTCCACCCACATACTTACGATAAACAATTTAGTCTGTAAAAACACATAAAACAGAAAAAAGGTGGGACAGTTTTTTAAAGCATACAGATTTGGATGTACACTATAATATGTACCAAGACATTTTGCCAGAAAACGCAAATGAACTGGCTGTGGTTCAGAGCAACAACTATAATAAAGGCTGTCCTACTCAGAGCACCTGAAGCAGATTTCTGCAAGACAACCTGCACTGACCTGAACAACATGAGGGATGAAAGAGTTCAGTTCACTTTGTTTCTATTCTGGATTACAACTAAAGCATGCAAACATGACACGGGAGAGATGAACGGCCTTCCTTGCATCTGAGGGTTGTGGGAGTCTGGAACAAGCTACTCGGACATGCTGTTGAAGCTAGTGCCCTGGTTCCCTTAGAAAACAGCTGGATATTCAACACAGATCATCATGCTAATAGCAACCAACTGGGTTACAAGTGCCTTTGATACCTTACAATCTTATGTTCTTGCAATTGTTTTGCCAGCGACTGAAGGTGCCTTTATAAGATGTTCACTGGAATTTGTTGGTGGCTTTCCTAACTAATCTGGCTGATGTCTTGACCCACAGAGTCTCACATTTGCAGCCCCTCGCCCAGCTGGGTATCTGACTGGAGCTGTCTGGGTGAAGTGTCCTACTGAAGAGTACAGCAGCCGTGTCTCAGCTGGGATCTGAGCCTGCCGTGTTCCAGTTACTCCACCCGCTGCGCCCCTCTGCTTACCGTGCTTGCTGAGGTTTTGCTCCAGCGGCGAGGAGTTGCCAGAGAGGTTCTCCATGGAATTGGGGTGCGTCCACTGTGGCAGGCGGGACTGAGACTGAGAGGTGTCCTTCATGGACAGACCACCACTCACGTCTATGCTGCTTACATTCATGTTTGGATTCAGCCCAGCTGAACGAGACGGCACATGGTGGGGGGGGGAACACACACAAACGTCAGAATTCCAACTGGGGTTTGAGGATTTTGCCCCCCCCACCCCAGAAGTAAAATCCCCAAACTACCTTTAAAAAGGTGCCAGAGCTCTAAACAGTCAAGCAGGATTGTCTGCTAAGCACACTTACCGAGGGGGTAAGGAGAGTAGGAGTTGGGAGAAGACTGCTGCTCTTTGGTCTGCAGGTCAGCTAGGCCTGGGGCCTGGGGGTGGGGTGGGAAGCTGTCCAGGGCTGATTTGCCAGCACCGGGGTGCAGGCCAGGATGAGGAGGAGGCTGCTGCTGCTGCTTCATAAGCAGGGCCTGGGCCAGCTGTCGCTGGTGCTGTTGGATTTGCTGCTGCATGTTATTGATTGTACGTGCAACCTGGAAAAATACAACACCACCACTTCTTAAGCCTGGATCCTTCAAGCAAGAAGTTTGCAATTACACCCGGCTTTGAAGTATCTTAATTTTAAACACAACTCACATGCAATGAAAGTCTAGACCTGGGGTGAGAGATACACCAGGTCTTTTTAGAAAGTAAATAATCAAAAAACAACTTAAGCACAGGGACATTAAGTACAACTATTTTGTTTCATCAAACCCAGGTATTCTAATGTAAACATAAAAAGTACAATTTTTCATGTATTCTTAATTTTACGGCAAAATATACAATTTATCTTCTTTTATAGTTATACGTCTTAGGTTTGCAGAACTGATCTACCTCAATGATTTTTGATAAGAGAGGTGAAAACATATTACAAATGACTGCAGCGGAGACTTTCCTGTTTTTTAATTACACTACCTTTTAATTCACCCTCCATTGCTAAAAGCCAAGAAAACTATGCAAAATGTCCACTGGCTCATCAAAATCAACATGGACTAAAGAGACAGAAGAAGAACTATCCTGTGACTTTTTCCACTTAGCCTTGGAGACCCAAGCTGAAGTCAGAAATTAACTCCGATGAAAGTACACCACAGAAATCCCACGAGATGAGGGTTTTTTTTAAACTGTGAGAACATCAACAGCTTTATCTCCAACAATGAATCTAGCCAAGTCACGCAAAGAAACGTGCAAGTTGTTTTCAGCTGGGAAAAGGGGAAGAAGGAAAGGAAACCACAGTTTTATGCCATAGCATGAAAAAAAAAGAAAAAAAACCAACACTTCTATGGTAGCAAAACTTTGCCGGCAGAAACCAAGAAAAACCAAAAAAATTCGAAAAATCGTCACAGGTCGTGGTCACGCGAAGTGTACAACAAGGGAAAAGTTCGTTCAGTCAGATTCAGTTATTTTGCCCTTGCAAAAATCTTATTATCTGGATGTCCGCTATGGATGAGTGATATTACAAGTCAAGTTGGTTAACAACGCTGGTTTACTCTAACATCCTATTGTGTTCCTTTGTTGCACACTCACTGATGCAACTCCCCAGCTCAAAAAAAACAGGTGTCCATAACGAACACTCTTTGTTTAAAGAATAGCAGAGAACAGAGTGTTTAAGCTGAGATAAACCACTTGCCACAGCACCCCCCTCGGGGGAGAACCGGGTTCAAATCGGCACTCACTTGCTGCTCTTGTTGTCTGATGGGGCCGGACACGTTACGCTGGGCCTGCAACATCTGCTGCTGGATTTGTAAACGCTGGTAAGCCTGTGGGTAGAGAGAGTGGGCGAGGGGCGCAGACAACAGAGCAGGGAATGAGAAACACTGGCATCCCGGCCTCCTCCGGTAATTCACATGCACTTCCAAAGCAGCTATACAAAGGCACCATTCCACTTGGAACACGTGGAGTACTGCTGTAAATGAAGACACTTCTATTGTCTAATTTGTCACCTGGATTCATTTCCTAGCCCTTTTCTGGTTATTGGACACAACACTACCATGAATTACTTGACAGTGAACGAGGCCAAAACCATCAGTATTAATACTGCAGAGTGTGCCACAGCTGGAGCACGCCAAATGCAAAACAAACGTGCAGAAAAGATGTTTTTCTGAACTGATAAACCTGTATGTGTCCGACAGCTTACTCAGAGCTTTCAAAGCAGGCCCCTGTCCCCAACAGAAGGAGAATCTCGCAGCAGCACAGCCCCGCTGTATGCGAGCTCGGTGTACTTCCTGCTCAAGCACGATGCTCTTGCACCCCAGGTTACCTGGAGTTCAGGCCTCCAGCTACTCACCAGCTGCAGCTGGTAGAGTTGGTTCAACAGGGTCATGTGTTGAGGGTTCATTGGCGAGGTTAAAAGTGCAGGGTTCAGACCAATGTTTTTTGCTGCAAACTGCAAGAGCTGTGCTTGAACCTGGAAACGGAGAGACAAAGGAGTATTGAGCAGCCCTCCCTGCGACACTGCGCACGCCCTGGCAGGACACGGGTCTGTATCACGAACTACGTGATCACGACGGAGACGTAGGAGTGAAAGAAGGTCGTTATATTCACGGAACTGGAATTTTACAGGAGTTTTTTTTTTTAAATCCAGTTCAAGGTCTGATCAACGTAAGGGGGGGGGGGGGAATAGACTCGAGAGGCAGAAAAACAAAAACAGATAAATAAAAGTTGCCCATTAGGCGGGCCAGGAGACGGCTCCGCTCACCTGAGGGGAGAGAAACTGAGGCACTTGAGCGCGAAGACTAGGCTGGGAGGAGCTGAGAGGTGGCACTGATGGCTGTTGGAGGGGAGGCTGTGGCTGCTGAATGGCCCTGGTTTGTGCTGCTCCACTACTGCTGAACACTCCGCTCTGCATCTGGGGGGGGGAGCGGGGGGGAGTCAGAGGAGAGCTGGGCAGAGAGGGAGGGGCCCGGGACACCGGAGCCCCCGTCTGCTTCCACGTACGGCTTAAAATCAACGGCGTTTCAAAGCATCATCATCCTCCTCATCCTCCTCTCCGCTAGGCCCCCGGAACCGCCTGCCCCCGGGCAGCGGTGACACCCCCCCCGAGAGCAGCGCCGCGAAGGAGCGAACCCGTGGACTGCCGTCGCCGCCCCCGCGAGGCCGCGTCAGAATAAGAGTTCACGGTGCAAAAGAGCAAAATAAGACGCGCCCCCCCCCCGGAGCGGGCGAACGGGACACCTGTCATCTAAAGCAACATGTTTATTCGAAGGCGGGGTCAGATCGGTGAACCACTCAAAAACAAAAGAAGGGAGGAGGCCTCGAGGTGGGCAACGCCCGCTCCTCTGGGGGCCCCCCGGCCCACACAGGCCTCCTGCGGAAATCACACGCTCGCCCGCTACCCGGCCCTCATTCAAGGGCAGGGGGGGCGGCCCCTGGGTCAAGCTGCCTTTTGCTGGTACTGCAAGAGCACAGACCACAAGAGCTCTCCCCACGTTGTCAAGGAAACAAATGGAGGGATTCCCCAACTTCCTGACACATCCGCAGCAAGCATCCTCCCTGCCCACGGGCACCAGACACTGCTCGACTGTCTGTGTGTCTGTGTCTCCTTGGAGAAAAAGCTGGGGTATGCGAAAAGACGAATTCCTAATGCAAGAAATTGTATAGGGCTAATAAAGAAACATTATTATTACATTATTATAAGCCATCAGCTTCATTTTGTGCTTGGTGGTTTGTCACAGCGGTACATCCTCTGTGCCAAGACTTTACATTCCTACCCAGCAGAGCATTTTCTTTTGAGCTTGGTGGCTTGGTTTTAGAGCTTCTGAAACATTTGTACTGAAACACCGGTGCCCGTTTGACATAAGCCAAAGTTGCACCTTGCTGCATGAGTGATTTCCAGTAAATCTGTGCAGAATGAAATCTGATCAGCTTCTCTGCAACTGCAATAAAAATCCAAGTCTATTCATATTCTACCCATCATCTACTTGTTTTTAGGCCTTCTATTGAATATAAAATTTAATGCGAAAGCTTGAGTCCAGATGAAAGATTCCCATTAAATGACAAGTACAAAAAAGAGCAAGAACAAGAACAAAATGCAAACATAGGAAAAGGCTAAACAAAGTATGCAAATCAAAACCAGATTAGAAAGAGCCTACTCTGCTTAGGAGTATCCTGGCCAGTGACTCTTTCTCCTGAACCTTGAGAGCTATTGCAGGCTTTATAGGGGACCCCTCTGTGGCTAGAGACAGGGGGAATAGGGCTAATTTTACAACTTTCAAACCTGTAACTTGTTCCATCATCAACTTGGAAACGTAGCCAGTATATGCCAAGATCAGGAGAGAGTGTCACCAGCCCACAGAGCTCCACTTCTGGTCTTGTACTGCTACAGTAGGTGTGTAGTAACTGGGATTTCAGAATGCATTACTTGGATGGAGTGCTGTAACTTTGTAAGGTCCTCTGTGTTGGCTGCATTCCTGGGACGCTCATGGAAACGAAACGATCTCATCTCATTGAGTCTCTCCTAGCAGGATTATCGTGATAGAGATAAATGAATGAATAATCATCAGGAACAAAGAAGGGATGGAGGGGTTAAGGTACATTTTAAAGCATTGATTTTACTTTTTCAACTGCTCACTTTCAAGGCGTATCAGAGGCTTTGTCATGATCATTCGTCTTTCACACACTGGATTCTAAAAGCGAACTGTGATGCCACAAATATCAAGTCCCCAATCTAAGAGTTTTTTCCTTGTCGTTTTTGAGTCGACACAAAGCTCCACCAAGACCCACTGTAACAGTACATGTATCACATGCAATTGGCATCAGTCACGTTGTCAGAGAACTGAAAAAAACTGCACGATTCTCATCCAACTGCATACATTTTAAATACAACTCCAATCAATCCATAGTCCTTCATATCCCCTGCAGCGGTTTCATAAAAATTAGGATATATGAATGTGTACAGCTGTGTAATAGCACCCGGGGGCCCAGTTTGGGCCCCTAAAACCCAGTTCACACACACACCCACCAACCTAGGGGTGCCCACCTGTCTGTTGGAGTTCAAGTTTTGCATGGCCAGCCCCGTGGAAACCCCCCCCAGGGCCTGGTTGGGGAGGGCACTGCTGGACAGGGGGAGCTTCAGGCTGGGAGAAGGCAAAAACGGTGAGGTTGGGGCGTCTTCCACCAGGCTGCCATCCTGGGTGCAAAAAAGAAACAGAGCATGCTGCCATTGCCAGTCAGGCTCCTCAGCACCCAGGGACACGAAACGGTCTGGCTCCTCTCACGCAGCTTTTCTGTGGTTCCCTGTAGGGTGCCCCTCTCCCAGGAGTGAGCGCACTCGCAGATCTTTGTGCCACCGTTTCCAAGATCGGAACAAATGAGACTTATCATCATGGCTGGATCACCTTGCTTTAGCAGGTGATGAAAACTAGTGGAGACACACCTATTTGTCTCACGAGCTAGTTACTCGTTTCTTTTCAGCGCATGAGCATACCAGTTACTCAAACCACTGCGTACAACACCTCACAAAGAACAGAGGCTGCTTCTGTCACAGCGGCTGGGTTGGTGGCAGCTCTGTTCAAGTGCTGCCACCTCCTGGGCAGATGGAGGAAGCGCCTCGAGCACCAGCTGGATGAAAGATCTGGATTCTCTACATCTGACATCTCTGCCAGTAGTTTCACATGAAAACAAATGAGGCCCTCGATAGCCCAGCCCATCGTGCCGACCCCATCGTACCTTGTCCAGGAAGGAGGGCCGGTCAGAGGAAGACTCTTTGGAGATCGTCGGGGGCCGACAGCCCAGCGGTTTGGTGACCATACCGTTGTTGTACTCAGATATTCCCATCCCCCGCTTGTCCAATTCAGTCTTCTTTTCCAACAGAGCGCCTGGAAGAGCAAGTTAACATTTCAGTCCCATTTTCTGACATACTAAAATCTAGCGTGAATGTATCGGAGGGGAAGATTTAAAAGTTCCAAGAGAAAAAAAGACTGTTCTGCCTGTTAATGGATTTATTATCTATAAGATACTCATTGGCCTCTGCTGTTTCCTTAATTGGTTAAATTAAACATTATTTCCAGGATGTCAGCCCTATGAGATTTAACGTAAATGAAACACGCAAGACCCACGTGCCTGTAGGAACACAATCTGATGTTTGCGTTGCCCTATGTCTACAGCTCTTGACCAGTTCAGCCCCTCCATGTGAGAAGTGAATGAATGCTCTGACATGCTGTAGCTGCAGTCGGCCAGCCACCCACCCAGACAAGTCTCACAGTTCTATTAGCTATTAAGAAGCAGTTGGGTCAGTGACTGCCAAGACCTGCTCATACTTACTCATTGCCTGATCCAGATTCATGTTGCTGCTCTTCAGAGCTTCCTCTGCTGGATCTCGCTGTGGACAGAGAGGAGTGCGTTCACCAGGCTGCACTAACTAACAACTTTTAAAGGCACAGAGTCAGGCTGAACACCAGAGGAATTACGCACACAGCAAGCACAGTTCTTTTAATCATTATTGGCCCAATATGCTAATTAAAACAGAGTAACAAATATTTTACACCGTGTTATCTTTTACAGCCATCATAGATAGTGTATTGACTAAAATCCAACTGCATGCAAAAACCCAACCATGCATGTACATTGTTATGCTACCTAGAATTAAGAGCTAAAAATCAACATGTACTGTAAGGGCATTATACTGGGACAAGCAGGACTTCTATGACATCACACTGATCGGAAAATCCATGCTGGAGGCTCACTCACCGGGAAGCCCATGTCCGTGAGCTGTTTGATCAGGCGGCTCATGAGCCACACGTCATCCTGCTTATTGAGTGCCTTCATGGCCTGGAGAGGAGAGAGAAGGAAAGTCACTGGTGCTGCATTTCTGTGTCCTGCCATTGCCAGCAATAGAGCAGAGCTCCCCCTCCAATGCTGAGGTTTTTTTCCAATGGCCACATGCGAGTTCTCAAATTGACTTTAGGTTGGCTGCATTAAAATGTTTCACAGATTAAGGCACTCGCTATTTTCAGGAGTGTCTTGTTTCTTAACTACCCAGTTTCTCACCTTCTGCTGTCCCTTCTTGGGCGCATTACCCCACGAGCTGCAGGAGGAGTTGCTCTCCTGCGAGGCAGTGCTGTTCCACATGTCCCCCTCTTCCTGCTCCCACTGCCCTGCAGACAGGCTCAGCTCGTCCGCGCTGCCTCCCCAACCGTCTTGCATAGATTTGGAGGCTAGAAAAACAGAATAACTTTCAGCGAGGCTGTGTTGCGACAAGAGTAACGTAAACTTCGGCAATCTTCAGTTGCAAAAGATCCATTTTTTTTTCCTTTTTAATAAGCACTGCTCTGAGTAATTCCTAGAAACAAAATGTAAATCTGTCTCAAACAAATTACTACACTATTTGTACGGAAAACCGGTTAAGAAAATATTTTTCACATGGCAGAGAAAAAAACTCAAAATATTATTCATGGTGCCAATGGGATTATTTCACAATGCTGATAAAATAGCTCAGTGTGTGAAACACTGTGATTTAATTACAGTTTAATTTAATAGTGATTTAATAGCTCAGTGTCTGCAACAACACCTGTGTGCCACTGGATGGCAGTATTGTTAAACAAATCAGCCAGAAGCATTCAATGTTTTCTAAAATGCTTGATGGTCAACTCTTCTGTGATTCACCTCAAACTACGAGAGAAACAGCCTCGACAAATAACAGTGCCTGACACCGTTACTGTAGAAAACTTCCAGTTAAGCCCACATTCCAAAATAAAATGAGTAACAGAAGTGATCAAGATGGTCTTTTGACTGCTTGAACTTGAACTTGAACTTTATTGCCATATGTAACCGGTACTGGTACAATGGAATTCTTACTTACAGAAAGTCTCTCGATTGTAAAACAAGTGTAAAAAACAAGACAAAGTGCAAACAGTGCATCAAGACAATATACAAACAAACAATAGACAATGTGCAAGTAAACATGTAGACAGTTTGAATGTAAACAATACAGATGTGTAAACAATGACTGGAGATGTGCAACAGATCAGAAATCATAAAGAGGTAGATGGTGATGGTGTAGATGTGGTCCGAGGGGGATGGCTAAATGTGTTCGCCAGTCTCACTGCTTGTGGATAGAAGCAATTCCAGACAGCTGTCTGGAAGCTCTGTGGGCCCTGTTTGTCATGAGCAGGTAAGTAACCCCGAGCAGTAAGGGTTACCTGGCTTGCAGGGGGCTGATCCGGGGGGGACGCTGCCCCTGCTGTAGTGCCCTGCAGGATCAGGGGAGGTGTCTCCCCAGCCCCCACAGCCACTCGGGGGCTTGCCCCAGGCCGAGGTCCCGTTGTCCACTGCCGGGGAAGCAGAGGCCGGCTCGCCCCACGAGGGCTCGGACTTGGAGTGGACGCTGGGCAGCTCTCCCCAGCCTGCCAGAGAGAGAGAGAGAGAGAGAGAGAGAGGACACTTCAGCTCCATCACACCAGAGATTCGATCAAACCTACGCCTCCCTGTCCTGCTCTGTGCGTGCCATTTTCACTCTGGAGCACAAGTGGACCACTTCCCCGACACACAGCCAGTCTTCTGCCCATCCCTGACACATGCTCCCACTGTCCCAGGACATCTCTCCTCTACCTTACTGACACGATTCCTGTTGATGAACTTATGTCGCTACCTTGCAATTTGGACTGTATTGTTTTACAATTAAAACCCACTAAAGCTTGAGGACAGATTCCTTATTCAAGTGTATATTTCAACCAATTCATCTGCATCCCCCCCACACCACAGGAAGCAGGAGTACCTTTTAAAAATCAACTCGAGAGATCCAGCCTTCTCTAAATGAACGGCTGTAATGCCCATTTAATTCTTGGCCCGCCTCTAACAGTTGGCTGCCAAACCCTCGCCATGCATGGTGTCTAATCCCTCCTTGGCTTGGGCTATACACTCCAACTAACAGCAGGGGGCGCCTGACCTTTCCAGTGCAGCCACCCATAACCACTTGCAGATGGCAGTTTCCTATAATTACAGATTTCCTTAAAGGAAAATGAAACTTTCTGGTAATTTGCCATTTTTACTGAGTTTGTAAACAACATTCCTTGGCTTTTTCACCCTCCCAGTATTCAGGTCCCCCCCATTACACATCTGTATCTGTCGTATCATTTCTTAGACCATTTTGGTGGGCATCACTGAAGGATCCCATGGGCTTCGTGCCTGCTGGTGCAACCAAAAAACCTTTTCCCTTATAACAGTTTGCAAAGACCGGTTTGTTGCTGTTATACAGTAAGCATCTCAAATCAACCAAAACCTCGATATGTTCTGAAGATGTTTCAGATGGAGCCCACTGCGTGGAACCTGTCAGCTGCGGTCTGGTTGAATTCCCAGCTAATGGCCCCTTCCTACAGCTCCGTTTCTGACACGGAACCCCAGCAAAGACAGAAACCAACTGTGCTCATTGCACTTCCAGGCCAGCTCTGCACCTGCACACAGATGGGGGACTGGCTGTTTTGATCACGGCTGTGTGGCTTTGAAAGCGTGCCGGCAGCACGTCACAACGTCAGCCCTGACGCACTGGCTTTCCAAGTGCCTAAACCATCAGACACCCCTCAGCGACCCCAAGGGGAAAGACTGCGGGCGTCTTGTCAGCATCTGTGGATGCTGTGTGTGGAGTCCACAGCCTCCAGCACTGCCTGGTTTTTTTTTTTTACAAGGTCTGCGTTCACTGCTCTTTTCTCTGGAAGCCAATTACATCGGCTGCGAACAATCTCAGACAGCACTAGGGGCACTATATTTTAACGCTCGTAGGTACCCCCAAAGACCGTGCGGTTGTCTCAGAAGATTCAAGATGGGGTCAACTCTTGGGGAGCGAAAAAACAAAAACGGACACATTAAAAAATTGAATACACCAATGCTTAGCAGTGCAAGTTGACTCACAAGCCTGCACCGTTTCTCCCTCCCCTACACACAGAAAATAAAACTGCACTCAGGTGAAGGAATAATTTCAGTGCCATGTACACTGTAATTACCATCCCACAGAATATTCTGAACACCGTGATACATGACCGGGTGAGAATCCATTCAAGTCTGCGATTAGCATCAATTACAAAACAACACAAGAAAATAATTTGAGGCATCAAAACCACCGATACGAATGAAACGCAATCGCTGTCAGGGCTGTATCAGGAGATGCATAAATGGGGGAAAAAATTACAAGGAACGTCATCAATTAGCAACTGTACAGAAACACAATTACAGAAGGGATTTCTTCCCCTGGAGTTTTCCAGCGCAGCGCGAGCTGGTGTATGATCCAGTCCTGAATACTAATTCGCCCGAGCCAGGGTGGACACCGTCTTCCAGGGCCTGAGCTCCTGCAGGGCTCACAAGCACTTCTAATCAACATGACAAAGAGCCCAATAAACAGGTGATCCGATTCCTCTCCCAAACAATCGATTCAACAAAGCAAACAAGATCAGCAGGGGCAGGGAGGCACACGCTTGTACAGTCAGGAGGGACTGCTGCTGCTGAAAAATGGGGAGCAAGACTCACACACTGCACAAAAATTCTGATCCCTTCAGCTTTTCCAACGAGTTGGCACGGGGTTTCCGGTTCACAAAATAAGACGCCTCGCTTTGAGCAAACCAACAGGGAATTATACACTTACAAATAAGGTGGTGAGTTTGTTTTACCGGGGCCCAGTGCTCTCAAAATTAAAGTGGTCCTAAATCCTGCTCAACAGGAGGGGGCAGCAGCCAGGCACTCACCTGGCCCAGCGAGGGGAGGCCGGCCCTGCGGGGCACCTGCTTGGTGAGGCGCTGCCGTCTCGGGCGTGCTGTTGTTGTTGGCGTTGTTGGCGGCGGTGTGGCTGTGGCTGTGGTTCTGGCCCGGGGTGCCCCCGTGGTGCGGGGGGTGGTGGTGGTGGTGGTGGTGGTGGTGGTTGTTGTTGTTGTTGCTGGGGGCAGGGGGGTTGTTGTTGTTGCTGTTGCTGCTGCTGCTGCTGCTGTTGTTGTTGCTGGGAGCGGGGTTGCTCTGGATCACGGGGTTGTTCCTGTCCCACATGTTGACAGCCTTGTTGCAAGCGCTCGGGTCGCCCCAAGCCGAGGTACCGTCGTCGATCTCCATCTTGCGGCGGATGGAGGGAGGGGAGGGCTCCTCCCAGCCGGTAGGCTCCCCTCCCGCCTCGGGCTTCGCGCCCCCGCCCCAGCCCGAGCCGCTCTGCTTGACAGAGCCCGCGCCCCCCCAAGACCCCACGCCCCCCCCGGCCATGCTGCCGCCGCCCGGGCCGTCTTGGGGCTTGCCACCCCACCCCTGCACGGGGGCGCTGTTGCGCTGCGTCTCCCCCCAGCTCGCCCCCGGCTTCCCCCACCCCCGTGGGCCTTCCTTCCAGCCGCCTTCCCCCTCCCAGGGGGTGGCAGTCGGGCCGTTCTTCTTGCCCTCCCCGGTCTCCCCCCAGTCCCCTGCGCCCCCGTTACCGCTAGGAGCCCCGCCCCCCCAGCCGTGGGAAGGCTTGGGCCCCTCGCCCCAGCTGTGGGGTTTGACCTTGGCGGGGGGGTCGTCCCAGCTGGGGGATTTCTCCTCGGGACCCCAGGACAGCCCGCCCTTGGGGGGGTTGGCACTGGGGCCGCTGGGCGAGGGGTCTCCCCAGCCCCCAGAGCCGTTGGGTGCTTTCTTGCTGCCGGGCTGCTCGCCCCAGCCGGAGCTGGGTGGACCGGGGGCGGGCGTGACGAGCACCGGGGAAGGGTTCCCCCAGCCCGAAGCGGCCGAGGAACTGGAACTGGACCCTTCGCCCTTCCCGGCCGAGTTCGACATCTGAGCAGCGCCGGGGTTTGCGTTGGCGCCTCCGCTGGCCAGCTGGGGTCCAGCCGAGGAGGACGCAGCGGAGGATGAGCCCCAGGCTTCGGTCCCGTTGTCGTTCTTGCGGTCGGGCCGCGGCGGTTCCTCGGTCTCCCACACCGTGTGCTGCCGAACCGGGGTCTGGCCCCAGCCGGTGTTGCACAGCACGCGGGGATCCAGGTCTTGCCTGGGCAGGGGAGGGGCCGGCTCTTGCTCGCTGGACGACCTCTCCCTCCGGCGGGACCGGCCCTCAAGGCTGTCGTTGCTGCCCTCGCTGGCGGGGGCGTTGGCCGTGCGAGTCCAGGAGCTGAGCTGCTCCTGTGGGGGGGTGCCGGTCGACTCCCACCCTTTGGCCTCGCTGGAATGCTTGCCCCAGTCGCCGCCAGCTGATCGTCCCCAGGCACCAGTGCCCCCAGCTCCTCCTCCTCCTCCTCCTCCATTCCCGGAACGGCCCCAAGCAGAGAGCAGGCCGGGGCCGCTCGTTGGCCCCGAATCCCAACCAGAATCCTTAGAGCCAGCTGACTTGGCATCGCCATTGCCCCACACTGAACCCCCCTCTCCATTGACCTGTGAGGCTCCAGTGGGAGGCTGAACAAGCGACCCCATGCCCACGGGTACAGTCCCCCAGCTGGGCAGGCCGTGGATGGGGCTGAGAGGCTCCTGTTTAGTGTTATTTGGTCCATCAGTGTTAAGGTTCTGAGGTTCGACGCTGAAAGACACATTCGTGGACGGGGAGGAGCGAGGCTCTGTAGCGTCAGGAGGGAGAAGACTCCCCCAGGCATTGCTGCCGTTACCCCCTGCAAGGTTTCCATTGGCGCTGCCCATATTGCCACCGCCACTGTTGCCCTGAACCGGTGGAGCTCCTGCTGGGCTGCAGAGGTTGGGGGCAGGAGGAGGGTTATTACCTCCCAGCCCACCGCCCCCCATGCCGTTGCCTTCATGCCCTAGCACAGGCCAGGCAGCAGGGTTGGCATTCGGGTTTAGGTTCAAGTTAAAGTTGGAGGAGCCCCAGCAGGGCTGGCCCCTCCCTCCCACTGGCAGGTTGTCCGTCTTCCCCTCTCCTCCAATGGTGGAGGGGCAGTGGGCGGGCCCAGAGCCCCAGCCGCGGCTGGCCCCGCCCTGGCCAGAAACCATGTTTCCCGAGTGGTTGGCGCTGGTTTTGCTGCTGGGGTGGTGGGCGGGGAAGTGGCCTTGCTGCCCGCCCCCCGTGGCCATGCTCATGCTGCTACTACTGCTACTGCTGCTAATCTCTTTGGCACAGTCAGTGTCCGTGGTGCATTCTGGGGGGGCGTGGCTGTCGCCGCGGGAAATGGAAGGCCACGCCTCGGTGTCACGCTCGTCGATGATCACTTGATCCCAGCTGCTGCTGTTGGCTTCGCTCCGACTGGTGGGCTGGGGTCCCCAGTGGGGATTCTCATACTGGGCTCCCAGGCCGCTCTGGTGGGGCAGCTCTGCAAGGCAAGGAGACAGGAAGACCAAGCTGTTAGCCTTGCAAAGAAGGAAGTTTTACTGGCTGTTTCAGAACATTGAAGAACACCGTGCAAAGAAAATGGAGCAAACAGTAATGGCCCCTGAGGCTGTGATCCCTTGCGTAACATTTATTAAGATAAAACAATGCCGCCAATCACCCCTAACCTGCGAAAAAGCACACAGCGAACAATTCTGTACGATTAAGAATATATTACATTCATGGTTTTGTAACTTGATATTATGTGACAGCCCTTTTCCAAACAGGTGAGTAAAACTAGGCAATATAAAAATGTGATAAAATCTTTGACTTCAAGGGCTTTGCAAAATGTAAACTACTTCCTGCTAATTAAAAGTATAGAAGACGGAGTGAGACGTTTACGGCCCGAGCGGTCAGCGCAGGTACCGTCCAGCCAGAGAGAGAGAGAGAGAGAGAGAGAGAGAGAGAGAGAGAGAGAGAGAGAGAGAGAGGAGGCCCATCAGTCTCCATTTCACTTTCCCAGGCCGGCGCCGAGAGAGGGGCGACGGGGCGGAACGGTGCTCATTTAGCGAGATCGCACCAAGACGTGCCCTCATCCATCTCTCCCCACGCTCTGCCAGCCCTGCACAATGCCGGGGCTGCAGCTGCACCATGTGACGCCAGGGGCTCCGGGCGCAGCCCCGCTCCCGCCACTCGGCGCCCACGCACGGCCAGGTACAGGACCACCGCTTCCAGAGTTCGATCCCACTCTCGCCTGCCCGGCTCGGTTCATTCATCTGCTCTACGGTCACTTTTAAAAGAAGCTTCATCCTTCAGATGTCGAGAAAAGCACATAAGGCTCCTCTCAGCTGGGGCTCAACTATTTAAAAACCCAAACTTACTCTAGTAACACGGACCTATGCTGCAGTGAAATTAAAAATGAATGGGAATCTGCAGGGGTAGAAGCCACGCTGGATAATTACTGGACGGTTGAAGAAAAGAGCAGGGAAGGCTCGGCCATTTTAAACGCCGAATGTTAAAACTCCAGTGTGCAGCTGGAGGCTGCGTCCCAGTGCGAGATTAGTGAAAAGCCCTGCAGCGCAGCCAATCAAAACCTGCAAAAGACAGCAGCGAGCTCTGTGGCTTCCCTTCCTTTCGTCTTCACAGCAGTGCTGCGGTGCTCTGGCTTCCTGTGGGGAATCGGGGCGAGTTTTCCACCCCGCTTCAACATCTTCAGCCCTGCTCATAAAAACAACACGTAGGAAAGCGACTTCACAGTTTCCCTGCTCTGCAAAGTTGGTGCACGGACTTCAACACTCGACGTGCTAGAGAAAATGCATTCCTAAATGTACTTAGATCACCTCAAAACTAGACGTCTCTAGCTACTCTCTTTCTTGCACACCCACACACACACACAAAAAAAAGACAGGACGGAAAAATTTTAGACAGACCGGCTCTTTTTAAACAACAAAAATACGAACTGTTAGCAATGGAACACGTTTAAAGAATTCTATTTTAATAGGAATGATAAAAGAATAACTTAAGAATTGAAACTCGTTTCTATTATAGATTGAAATTCCTAGTAACAAGACTAAGCTTCGGCAGTATTTGTAGATGCTGATATGAAGTTTGCAAAAACTGTATTTTGGGAATTTGTCTTGTGTTCTTTTCTGTGAACTACAGTCATTTCTGCATCATTCTCCCATTCCAGGCACTTATCTTCCCTTCCCAGGCAGCGATATCTCTCTGCCCTTTAATACAGTTCACACCTCCCCAGTGTCACATGGGCACTACACTACTGCTGACAGCCCATGACAGCACCACCTCCTAATTCCTCCCTACTTATCAACACACAAGTCTCTCTCTTCAGGACACCCCCCTCCCCTCCAGAGAAAGCCACAGTAGCTCCACACCATTACGGTGACCACCTGGACAGATAGCCCTTTAGCTCTTAACTACAATACTGTGTCTTTAGAGCCACCACTCCAAGCCCCCAAGGTCAAGCAATCCCGCTATCAACACATGAATGCGCAGAGTCTCTCACTTCCTCTCCTAACCAAAACACAACAGTCCAGACCTGGGCTCTTCACAATCACTTCACACTCCCGCCCGCTCAGTGCTGCTATCAACAATCCTGCATTCCTCTCATGGGATCTGCACCACCCTGCAGCCCAGACTACCTCTTCCTCTGCTGGTTTTCCAGATCTGAACATTCTTCACGCGTCCCTATGTAAAAAAAAACAGGACTTGTTTCAGGGCATGGAACAAGTGCAATTCTGTTATCTTTTAGTGTCAATATCTTGGCAAGCGCTTCAGACTGGCACGGTGTCAATCCCTTTTTGTTGTTGTTGTGTTTGGTATGTGCCTGCATGCATGTGTGTGTGAGGGAGCTGATCCTCAGAGCAAGCTATGTGTGCAGTATAACAAGATCCCATACCAGGCAGGATCTCAACCCTTTCCTGCAAAAGGGAAAGTGACAACGAACAACGACGCAGAAAAAGAAGGGAGAATAAAGAGCAGCAATAGGCTCTCGACACAACACTGTCCTTTTGCTGCAAAGGACGCCATTTTATCAAACCTGAACCGCAGCCAAGAGCCTGGAACTGCTGCGTCTCCGTCTCGCTCGCTCTCTAAAAACGCCCGAGCGCTAAATTAATCACACAACTCGGGAGAGCGAGCGGCCGCTTCTGTTTTTGTTATCATTTGAACGCTACCCTCGGAGAAGTGGGGGGAAAAAAAAAACACAGGAATAGACAAACGCAGCCAGCAGGGAAGGGGGCTGCCGCGGCGCGGACGAAATACCTGGAGAGAGGTGCCGACCGACCATCCTGAGAGAGGCTGCTACGTTGTGTGTGAAGCGGTGGCCATCCCCGTTTCAATATGTCTGCTGCAAGGCATCTGAACCTCATTCTGAAAAGCTGCCAAGAGATTGCTTCTCTGTGTGCAAGCGACCGCCCTTCAATCCCAGTCTGGCTCGGCTTGATCCAACCTCTACAGCCCCGCTCCCTCTCTTTCCCTACTTAAAACACTCTCTTCCTGCAGGAATCTGAAATTTGCACGGAGGTATAGGTGTCTTCTTCTCTGGGCTGGGGAAGGAGGGAGGGTTTGAAGCACTGCTGTGAACGGAGGCATTTCTGGAGTGCGACACAGAGGGGATTAATGGAGGGGGGAAAAAAAAGAAAAGGGCTTCCTTCTCTTCTCCCTGCACTTCAAACTGTCACAAAATATTTAGCCTACACCACTCTGGCTGCAATTACCAGTGCAGCTTACAGTCTCTCTCTGAATACCAGCCAAAAACAAAGCCACTCCAGCTTCCCTGATTGGCCACTCTGGAAATGAGACTCTGCTCTATTCATCTTCCTTCTAAAATACACACACTCTCTCTCTCTCTCAAAGCAGTTTTCTGTATTTATATTAAAACAGCAAATCCTTGAATGCTCTGCATACAAGTGTAGCCCCCCCCTGCTTCTGTGCCCCCCCACCCCCACTTAAAAAACACAACCCAACACTCGCATAAAACAAAGAGATAAACATGTTAAATGAAGCTCACAAGGATACGGGCAAGAGGCCAAAGACTGAAATGTCTTTCCACACAGTACCCGAGTTGAAATGAGCGAGGGAGGGGGGGTCAGAATGAGAAAACACTAGCTTGCAGCATGAAGGATTACATTGTTTATAAATGATCCAAATGACTCCCAAAAACAATACGTCACAGCCTGCAAAGAACGGGCCTTTATTATGTGCTAATTCAGCTCCAGCCTCTCTCAAGTGAAACATGCAATGATGTCATCAGACTTGCTCCTGACTGCTAGCTTTGTCTTTAAATACCCCTCCATGGAAGCTCAGGCTCCTCGAGATCAAAGGGCTCAGTTTTGGTGTACCCCCCAGAACTCTGATGGCACAGCGATTTAAACCTCAACCACTCTTTATAAGGAGCGCAGCACTTGGAAAGAAGGAAGCAAGCAGGGAGAATAAAGGCCAACGATTACAATGGCGTTGACTGGACCTGTGAAAACGGGGCAGGCGTTATAGCAGTTCAGCTCCAACACAATCGACAAGTTTTGGTAATGCTTGAAATTAAACTGTATAGATAAGGGTTAAGCCGATAAAGGATGATCACTTTACTGTAAACAGAGGGACTGCTGGATAGTGACCCTGACATCATCACTGCTCTCGCTGGACCCTTTGTTATATAAATAACCTTTCATTCGTCACTTTAAAGCTTAATCTAAAAGGCAACCCAAGTTTCTAATGCAGGTATTAACTGGAGTTTAAGTCATCATGGCTTTAAGTCTCGTTCGTGCTTTCCTGACAACTTTGAGAAAACATGCAGTAGTTGCTATGGTTCTGAAGGGCCAACAAAGACAATGCATATGTTTCAGCTCCCTGTTCACCTCCTTAATTGCGCTGCAAGCCTTGTGCATCACAGATTTTGCATTGTGAAGCAGACCTAATTCACCTCACTGCAAGACGACACTCCCCATAGTGAAGGGGGAGGAGGCAGTAGTCACAATTGATGTCATTCATAATAATCTGGACTGAGCCGCATCCAATATAATTTTTTTTTTGGGGGGGGGTCTGCGGGACTTCCAAGTGGCTCGAATGGGAAAAGGTACAAGCCCAAGAGCAGGATGAGCTCCTTGATCGCAGGCTCGAGCCGGGGTCACGTCACTGACCAGGTGGGACTGGGAAAATCCCCCAGGTGGCGGAGCACATTCGGTTGAGCACCACTGAGGGTTGGGTGGGGCTGGCCAGCTAGGGCTCTCAATGTCACAGCGTCTGCATGCATGCAGTGCTGTCAGAGAGGGATGCACCGCTCCTCCTGTTGGTGCTGCATCTCCAGCATCGGGCTATTTCACTTGTGTTAGACACAGGGAAGTGGGAAGGTCTGAGGGAGTCCGCCTTCACTTCCTCATTCTCCCCTGTGTGCGGTCACAGGGTTTATGTGTCAAAAGTCCCACAATTGGCTATTCCAAACTGGGTGGATATAGCAAAAGCAATTGTCAAAAACTGGCTACATTTCTAAAGAAAACCTCATGCTTTGAGGTTAGGTAAGGGAAGATACTCTAACCTTGAAGCCCCAGTTACACTTGTAAACAAACCTCCTCAGAGCTGCCCTAGGACTTCTCTGCTCGCCAAATGGCCCAGATCTGGCACTTTAAAGGCCAGTCAAGAGGGGCAGACCTGACTGATGCCGCTACAAAATGGCTACATATGGGAACATTCAGAGAAATCTGCTGTACGCTCTGAAGCTGGGACTGCACAGCACCATCCTGCTCCAGCTGACTCGCTGGCACATGATGGAAACGAAAGGTGACACAATAAGGACAGAAAGGGCAGGGTGACCAGCGCAGCAGTCTGCTTCGCTTCGGGGGGGAGGCCCAGGATATCTACCGGGTAGCAGTGAGGCACTCGGACCTGATCTATACGAGGATGTCTGTAGCCAGAACCGATGTCATTTAGAAAAAATCTTGAAGAAGGGAGAAGAACCCAGCACCTCCAAGGTCTTGGAGAAGGGACAGAAGCCTTGCTGCAATCATGCTCAATCACATTGCTCTTAAGATATTTTGGAAACCACATTTATTTGAAAGCCTTTATGTGTAACACAGTAGTAAAAGCAGTATGGTTTTAAGGACTACAGTCTTGGCAATTGATAATATAATTATGCTGCGTCAAAGATTAAATACACAAACTGAGGATTTCAAAAGTAATATCAAATTCCCTGAATGATGACAAGGTTTTGACCTTTTTGTTAATTTTAGATCTGTAAAACCCAGGGGAAAAAAAATCAATTCAGATTTTTAAAAAAAAAATATTTCAGTTGCGCACTTGCATTTTGTAATTGTGTGCTTTCAAGTTGTAAGTGTACCTTAAAGGGCAATGACATGAGCCCTTAGACTGGGGGATGGGGGGCAGGCACACACCTGCCCTGTCAGTCAAAACTATATCTTTTTACAGAAACATAAGCCAACCAAAAGCAAGGATCAGGCACTTCTACATATACTTCCTTGATACAGAGCCCTATACCATCAAAGCTCTTCTTAGAAAATCATTCAGAAAACAAGAAAGAACAGCCAGATATCCCACAGCTAGCACACTTGTGAACTATAACCAAATACGCAGAAGAATGTTCTCGTGTTTCTGTTAATCAGAAGCCCATGCATTTGCTGGTAAACCCAGGTTCAGTGATATTTTGCAGAGAACACTTGATCATTGATGTCACTGCTTTGTAATGAGATGATCCTTTCATTCAAATCATTCAATTAATTTGCTTTCAACACACTTTACAGCAAAAGGCACTTCCATACTCAAAGAATAGGGACAATTTAAATGGATGTGAAGGCAATGCCACTGCTCGGTGCAGGAAGCTTCCAATGCAACAATATACAGCAAAAACTTGATCTACAAAGCAACACTGTGACTTAATCGCTAATGAAGACCAAATCCAGCAACACCCTGAAATAATCTGACCATTAGCAGCTATACATTAAGTATGCCTGAGCAATATTCTTCCAGACTACAACAAAAGATGTGTGTTTGCAGCAGACAGAGTATAATATTGGGTAAAAATACAAAATGAATACTTAAATGAATCTAGATAAAAATCAGGTTATTTTCTCTTTTTCCTCTGCAGCTATTTCTTTAAATATAATTCACTACAGAAGGAATTGGTTTATAACACTGCCTAGCAAGCAGTGCAAGAATGCACTGCGCCACAACGAACACTGGCCGTATTGATAAATGCGCTGTTCCCCTTCTTGATTCCTCTACAGCCAAGATACCCCGTGAGGCTGGGGCCCACAACCTGTCCATCACATTTCTCTCCCCTCTGCCTCCACCATCAGCTTTGGTTTGTGCGATTGCATCCAGATCTCTCAGTGGCCTGAAAGTCTAGCTTAAAGCCCTCTTTCCTGCGCTGGCTTTAACAGGGAAAGACATGTAGCTGTGCTGCAGAGCAAGAGCCCCAGATGAGTCACACACTTTTTACTGTAAGCTCTGACTCACAAAATCCAGAGCTCTGGTCCACTGCCACAATCGCAGACCGCTGCATGCTCAACTTAGCTAACCTGAATTGGGTTTTCACTCAAGTGAGAAATTAGGGAGTGTGAGAACAGGACACGTGAGAGGGAAATACACATGATTAAAAACTAGACTCAAGGCCAAGCATGGCATCCAACACAGTTTATGTTCAGATATATATCTGCATAGCAGACCAGCTAACAATCTATAAGCCAATGTTTCTTCACCAGCAGGATATTTAAAGTTTTGGGAAAATGCTTCTTTTTATTTTATTGTATTTATTTGTTCATTTTGCACTGGTTCTCCTAACACAAATCCTTTGGCAAAACGCGTTTAATCTGGTCATTCCAATAAAGCTACTTCAAATTGAATTATCTTTAATAACAACGCTTGGATATATTATTCAATTAAGGGATTAAAAATGCGAGATGGCAGCTACTGTTTGGTAATAAAATAATAAAAATCAATAAATCCTGGTGTATTTCAGGCCAGGGGCATTACTTTCATTAAAAAAATATCACGTCTCCTCATTTAACAGGCATTACATCATGAAACACACCTGACTGAAAACACAACTATTTATACAGACGGAAATGTGGGCATATTGTTTCAAATATCTGCTTCACTGAGAATTCTTCAGACAATGAACTGTTTACTTTGGGCTGTGAAAGAAACCGATGTCACCTCTGCAAGCACTGCACTAGTTCATTATCTTACAATAGTACCTACAGACCTTGTATATAACATGGAAGAGCAGAGCGACGGGTTAATTTGTGGAAAATTAGAAAGGCAATGCTGTTCACTTCATTTCTTGATGATCTTATTTCATACTTGTGAAACAAAATCCTGCAGCAATGTTGAAATGATAGAAGCACCAATGATGTACAGCCAACCCATCCATGCAATTCCTTTGGCGACCAAGCTAATTAAACCACGGAACTGCGGGAGTCCAAGGGAAAATTAATATTCTTTCTCAAGGAAAATGACAGAAATACAAGCCCGGTGACTGTAGGCTTCCACCCATGCAAATAAATCTCACCAGGTCTTTCAAAAGCTATCAACAAAAAACACATGATAAAAACATACTGGGATCTTCATCGGTAACTCTCAATTTTAACTTGAGAAGTCAGACAGTCAAGACTTTCAGGCTCTTGTAAAAAGGGGACAACATGCTTTTTTGGGGGGACAGGAACTCTGAGGTAGGAAACACTGTGTCAGAGGGCAGCAGGTGAGGGACTGAATTCAGATGCATCTCAAAGTGATTGCACTGATGCATCTGAACACCTCCCCAGGAAGAGCCAGTGTTCAACAACCTCAGAGGCTGATAAGAGCAGTCGAGCTCTGAAACGATCATGCTTACGGAATCAGGTAGAGCACTGACACCCTCAACCACAGCGCCGAGCCGCGAGGACGTCAGACGGGAGAGTCGAACCCGCGTCTCCAGAAGAGCCTGGGAGCCCCACCTGCCAGTGCCGTGGCGCACCCCCCAGCGCAGACGGGCGGGGAGCTGCTCACCTGCGTGCTGTTTGCCGGCGGTGTGCAGTGGCGAGTCGGCCCCCGGCGGGCCCGTGCCGAGGGGGAGGGTCCCCGCGGGCAGCGGCTGTCCCCGCTTTAGTAGCTGCTTGTGCTCGTGCTGGCGGAAACGGGGGGGCACCTCGCGGGGAGGGTAGCGCAGGGCGGCCGGCTGCTGCTGCTGCTGCTGCTGGACACTGGGAGGAGCTCTCTTGCCATTGCCACTGGTGCTCACCGCGGGCACGGACGGAGTCGCGCTGGGGTTGGCAGGGTGGGGGGCGCTGGAGCTGGGCTTGGCAGATTCTGGCACTGGAAAGGAGACACGACCCAGAAAACGCAGTTTAGCGTCCAGTTTCCCTGCTCCCCCCTGGAAGCACACCAGACAGGACACACAAGGGCTTCAACATTTAACAGCAGCTTCCTGAAAATGATTTAAGAGCATGAGAGTAGTTACAAAGGAGAGACGGCTATTCAGCCCAAGTCGCCGTTTGGCAATTAGTAGTTAATTAATCCATAGATCTCACCCAGCAGTTTCATGAAAGAACTCAGGAAGCAGCATGCCTAGATAGCTTGTTTAATGCTCCCACAAATAGGAGCTACTGTGAACTTTTTAAAAGTCATTTGTGGGTCTATAACCTGCACTCTGTTGAGCAATACGGTTTAAGACACTGGGCTTTAAAAAGCTGTGCTTTCATGTTGCATTCAAAACCTATCCTCATGCAGTGAAATGCATTGAGACTGTTTTTCAGTAGATGAGGGAAGGCATGGTGTTATTTAACCTGTGGCTTAACACAAAGCCGTGCCATGAAGAGAGGAAGACCATTCTTTCAGCAATAGAACAAAAGGCATATTGCGATTTATCTGCAATACAAGATTGTGGGTTACAAACTGCTGCGGCAGCCTTTACCTCCTATCTTTCTCCGTCCGGCATTGTTAAATTCATCAACATGTACCAATCCCTTTGCCAAAACAGGTCATTCATAGGCTGTGCAGAGCTGGACCCCCCAAATACTGACAAGTGAGAGTGTGCTTACGCTACGAATGTGTGATCTCTGTCAGAGTTCTGCACTGGAAACGAGCTCGTCTCCGAGAGGAAGAGAAAAATTTAAAAAGACCCCATCTGAGGCAGAACTAACAGCTTCGTTTCCCCCTCCCGCCCCCCTTTAAAGACTGAGCAACCCAGACTTTCATCTCCGTCGCCTTGGGGCTACAGCAGGCTGACAGCGAGAGGCGTCAAGGAAAGACTTGTTTCAAAGGGCCAAGGCCGCCTCCTCAGACAGCTGCCGAGATGCTCCCTCTATTCCAGAGCCACCTTGACAATGTAGCACAGCTAAAAACAAAACGACCCAAAAGGGGTAAAAAAAAAGAATTATGAGAATCGTCTCCTTCTCTCCATTTTTTCTGGGATCTCCCAGTCATGGCCCGGCTCGTATTGGTCTTTAATTCACTCCTACAGCGACTGTGGTAAACACAGCTAGAGAAGTTGAAGGAATCTCGAATGCGTATCTGTCCACGCACAGATGGCATACAATGGATGAGAGACCCTCAGGACCCAAATGAAACGGGTCCAAGACAGTGCCCAGCAAAACCAGGTAGGGAGCAAGGCAGCCACACAGAAAAGTTTAACACTCTACCTTCAACGCTAAATGTGGTAAAATTATAAGACGAAGCAGGGTAATGCAAAGTTCCAGTTTTACACTATATTTATCTTGGTAAACCTTTCCTTTGACAGTCCATGAAAAGGTTACTTCAAAAGAAAAAACATGGGTTTAAATCCAGGTTTATATATATGTAGATATAAAACCGATATAAAGCTTTGTCAAAGCACCCACTTCACCAAAGGATAGATGAAGCAGGTATTAACACTCAATTTTACAAGCATTTTTAATACAGATTATAATGAATCATCATCAGGGGAAGAGGCCTCAATATTCTTGAACAAGTTCCAGCAGGGGAATTGAGTTTTAAATCTTTTATCAAAAGTACTCAACTGTCAACAGACTGGTATAGGGGAAAAGCATCTGATCTGATGAAACTGCCACCTGTCATGCCCTTCAAAGGTCTTGTGACCCCAGTACAGTGCTACTGATCCATCTAAACAGCTTATTCCTTAAAGACACACACACACAATTACAAGGTGACTATTTAGTGCTCTGGCGGTCTTTCAGCTCAGCCACCAGGATTAAAGCAATAAATCTCCACCCACCCAGTTCTGGAAGCTGCCAAAACCTCTCTCACACACTACTTTGAAAAGGAGACACCCAGCTAGTGAATTAGAGACCTTGGCACCCTGCACGGTGCACACAGACACACAACCCCCACCATGCCAGGCCTGCTCCCCGCTGCAGAGGAGTGATTAACAGACTGCGTCCTCCGTGCAGCTTCAGCGCAAGCTACAGCGCGTGACGCCAGCCCCTGATTGATACCAGGCCTGCACGCGCCTCGCTCAAGAACAGGGAAAGGAGCCTGCACTCTCTCTTTTCCCCCTCCCCGCCACCCCCCACCCCACCTCATCTACTTCAAACACCTCATTGTTCAGTGCTGTTATGAATATATTACAGGAAGCAGATGGACCCCACAACTCTGTGCTATGCTCTCACAATCCATGACATGATTTATTCGTCCGTCTTTTTCTTTACGGTTCAAATCTTTGCACTGAAGCCGACAAATTAAATCCCAGCTCTGACGTAAATCCTTTTGGAAGCCTTAAAGGAAGCAGTTGGAGCAGATCTGGGGGTGGGGTTTGGAGATGTGGAAGCAGGGGTACCAGAAGCACAGACCCACGATCCGTCCTCCTCTTCCCAGCCATCCAGAGCCATCCAGCACATTACTCTAATCTTCTCGATCTTACTGAGCCATTCTTCACATGGCAATTATTTTTCAACATTTCTTCTTTCAGCTGCTTACATTATATTACCACTGACAGAGTAATTATCATTGGTGCTATTAAAAAAATGTATCTGCAGCAGACAAAAATGCAGAATTGTGATTTGCATCATATGAATACTCTGTCATGCAATCTATTTGATGAAAACACACAAAACAAACTAACAAAAATAATAAAACTCAGTTACATTTGAAAACCTACATGAGACTAGGCTAGGCTTGTCAATGTCATTGCATTACAAAGCTCAGTCAGAAAGAGATCACAAGCATTCATGCAGCTGGTCGTGAAGGTCAAATCTCGGTCATCAATACTGTAATTATTTCACTCCATGTTTTTGGATGAAAAATGTTCAGATAATTTCATGTCTGTCTTTTTTTGAAGCCTTTGCAGAGTGGAGAAAATGGGATGAAAAATGAATGAGCTAATCACCTATTGATCAGATACCATCAATCCTCTAAGTGCCAAAGGGATTGTCTGCACACTTGGGAAAATCAGTTCCGACAGCCTAGACTACAATACTATGACCTATATATACATAAATGCAGATAGTTAAGTTCAGTACAGGTACTGAAGAAAAAAGGTGAAGAAGTCAAGATGCTGGATTCACAGTATCTCATGAAAAACTTCTGACAAAGTACTGTATGTTGTTAGAAATTATAGTGAACCCATCTGAGACTCTCACTCACACCTGGCAGAGGGCCTATGATGTTAAGAGCAGCACAGGAGACAGAAAGAATAGAAAACCAAATACTCTTTTAGGAAAACCAAAGGAATTCAACCGAAGTTGAAAAGCAGCAATTAAATAATTTATCACAGCACACCTATAGTAAATTCCATTAAACTAGATCACCTATGAACTTGTAATTACATCTTCCAGAGATGAATAGTTAATTAAACAGGAATGCAATGAATATAAATCCTACACACAAAGAGCCACTCTCAGGGTTCCTTACTGTACTATTAGAAGGCAGACGTAACCTTTACTAAGGAATTCATAAGCATTTGAAAAAGTATTTCTTTGCACCGAAAACGCTTATTGTTGGAGGCACCATCACGGTCACAGACAGTGAGCTTAGGTCTCTCAGAAAAAGCAAGCAATGTCCTCCGTGCTCACAATCAACACTGCTATTGCTTTAGTACTTCACTGAAAACAGCTAAAACAGTCTTTTGTCCCAGTTGGGTCCAAAATGAACGACACTGATATTAGACCACAAACGAAACGTACAGTAAATATCAGAGAAGAACTGGCATCCCATCCAGGGCTAGGGATAGGCAGCAGCTCCCCTGTGACCCTGAATTGTTAGAATATGGATGGATGGATATTAGAGAAGACACTTTAAAAGGAATACATGTGCCGCACCACCAGGACTGCCAAGTGGTAAGGCAGTGGGGGCGTCGTATCCCCCAAAACCGCTGCTGACCAGGACAGAGAGCTTCTTCCCGACCGCGGGGCGTGGTGCAGATCCACACACTCCGTGGGGCGCAGACTGCAGCCCCCAAACACCCCCCCCCCCAACTTAGGTTCGCTCTGCTTGCGCTGCTGTTGTTTCCATGAAGAACGGCTTCTGTCTGCGAGGCGAGCAGAGCCCATCTGTCAGCGTGTTTGCAGAGCCGGGGCCTAAGCAACACTGGGTGACGCCATGAGCTGCTGTTTGTTATGTAGGCTGAGGCTGCTCTCCCGATACCAGGCTGTTGCCATGGAGATGCTGGCTGCATGATGCACCTCTGTGACCCCCCCACCCCCTCTCCCCTTGCCCATGAGGGAAGTGCCCTCTCCCTCCTCTAGGGGCAGGCTTTTCCCCCCTCACAGCCCGAGGAGCCACTTCTCTTGGGGGCCAAACAGAAAATGAAAGAACTGCGCATGCCCATCCTTTTTTAGGTCAGCAACTCTAAACTGGCAAAACGATTCACTTCGTCTTCCTTTGCAAGTTATGAAAAGCCTCTGCAGAACAAAACTCCTCTGAGTTCCGCCCCCCCTTTAGACTCTTAGGTCAGGCATACCAGCCTCGTGTTTTCAAATCCAGGAACCGAATTTATGCCATTTATCACTCATTGAGCAGCAAGGTAAAGATGCTCCCAGCTTTCCATCATACCCAAATCTCGATCAATGAAATCATTGTTTTTTTAAACGTTTGACAAGTAACTTGACCCAGGTGGGAAGCAGATCGATGTAAACCTTGGCCATCAACGCCGCTTTTCAAGTTAATTATAAGCCAATGTTAACTTTTCCTCCAGTCAATATCAACGCTAGTAATGGAAAATTTTGAAAAATTAAGCAAGAATATTCTGTCAGCACTATTTTTGAGCTCTGAATTTGAGATTTAGAGTCTTTATAACCAATTTAGAAACATTAGTTCCAACTGATCTTGTGATATTACTATGCTCAGGATGTCAATGTAGAATAAATAAGCAGGAAGTCAAA